GGGAACCCTGGCGCCTGCTCCGAGCCTCTGTCACCTTTGGTCTCTGCGCACGTGCAGAAGTCCCTGGTGCGCTTCTGGTCTCCAGCCAACTCGTTGTTTCCTGCGCCCAGAGTCTGTAGGCATCAACAACTTCCCCTTGGAGCAGCGCTTGGGTGGTTGGAGCCAAGCCCTGGAGGTTGTCCAGGGCAGTGGGACACTTATACTCTACCCTTGGAGAACTGTTCCCCAAGTCCTGTCTGAAGTGCTTGTCCTGGAGAGTCCAGGGGGTGACCAGGCACACACCTGTGTGTGTGTGTGTGTGTGTGTGTGTGTGTATGGAATTCCTCACCATGTCGGCCCCACTCTCAGGTCTTAGGATCCGAGTTAGGATCTGGGCCGGCTCAGAAGAACATGCAGATGCATCTAGAAGCTGTTTTGCAGGCTGCCCAAAGTGCAGTCAGATAGTCGTCGGCGCTACCTGCTGGGCGCCCTGCTAAGCAGTGACTAGGTGCCCCCTCCTACGGGAGACTGGAGGGCTCTCCTGCAGCCCGATGAAATCAGCAGGACTCCCTCCCTCTGCAGGTGTGGGATCCAGGTGCCCAGACCCCAGGGGTCCCTGGTGGCATCTCCCTCTACCTCACCCTGATGGACTGTGTCACTCAGCCTCTGTGTCATCTTGTGTTGTCACATCCTTACTTTCAGAGGGGGCTTTGGTGGGTTTAATAACCCCAAGTATTAGAGTTACCTGTGCTGGGCAGACATGACCAACACCTCCAGGCTGCTTTAAACCTGTGGGTTGGGTGTCCAGAGCAGTCCTGCCCGAAGGATTTTAGTTTACTCTTTGGAACACAGAACTTTGTTATCTGATCTGGGCAGGCAGGGCTTAAGGCTTTTCTCTTTCTTACTAGGAATGTTAACTGAAGAGAGAGGTAGCTGCTTAAAAGCACCTAATGAGAGAGATGCTGTTTGCTTTTTTTTTTGATCTTGGGCCTCAGGCCTTCCCCCGTGCTGGGGGGCGGGGCCAGGGGCACAGCTGGTGCTCCCCCCAGGGCAGGTGCAGGGGGTGATCTGAAGCGGCCGG